CTTCCTCCTCCACCCTACCAACTTTCTCCTCCACCTTTTTCATCCGCTCTTCCATCTTCTCAAACCTCTCATAAACGGATGTTGAAAACTATCAAACAGACTGTTTATAAGGTCAACCATTTCATTCTCCTGACCCCGACGCCTCAGCAAAGTGGTACTTGTTGAACCGGTTTGCCAATTGGGTGGAGGCATACGAACTTCTTCATCCTCCTCCCCCTCCTTCCCGCCAATTGGAACTTCATCATCCTCGACCTCAACAACATTCTCAAGCAGTGGCCCTACAACTGCACTCACATGCGTGACTCCTTCTAAGTCTCGTATTCGACAGTCTATCCATAAGGGTGAGGAAGAGACGGACGACTCCTTGCAAAAAGAAAAAAATCGATCAAATTTAAGACACATTTAAAAGCAAGTGCATATTCAAAAGATTAATCCTTTCATCTTACCTGAGCTGCTTGAATTTTCATTTCTAATTTGTCGTAATCCCAATGGGTACACTTCTCGATGTGCCACCACAACATCCTAGAAAATTGTGGTTGCTCATTCGAAGTCTTCTTCTGCCCCCTGCCTTAGACAGGACAGGGACAGCCTCATACATCCAACCGTACATTGTAAAAAAATAGTCCATATCATAATTAAAACACATATAATACAAAAAAATATAACAAAAAGCTATTAATATTTACCTGCATTGCCCATGGGAAGCCAAACAGATTGTACGTGCTCGGTCTTTCCTTCTCGACAGCTTGGCGATGATTTATCGCCATGTCTTTTCCACGCAGGGAGTCAATGGTTAGCTGAAATGATAACCGTCCTCACGAATAAGCATTAAAGAAGTCCATGTTGCTTGCAAACTTTACCCAATACATATTACCAGCTTTTGCTGAGTTAGAAGCCATTAGGATCGAATGCACAAACCATACCAGACACATCTTAAACTTCTTTGAAGAGGTATACCCATCTTCTCCTAACCTCTCCTCTAAATCGCATCCTGTAATAGACGCCTTCCCCCCAAAACCTTTCTAGTCATGTTATCAGCTGCCCTGCTCTTTGTTATTCTCTCTTGCTCTTCTGCATTTGGAAATTCCCCACATCTTAAGTCTGTCATCAAGGCATATTCCATCATGCCAAAACATAATGGCTTCCCATCCACCACAAACCATATTTCATTTTTTTTTTTTCTTGGCTTTTTACTCAGTACAGCAACATATAATGCACTCCCTGCCCCCAGAATGTCTTTTTCCAATTTTCTCCGATGTCTGCAAAATGACCTAAACAACTATCTTTGAATCTGTCCATACCCTTACTTTGTTCTTCTAAAATCTCCATTATTCTCATCAAAACTTGCCAACTCGACCTAACTGACACCCTCAGGGGAAGTACGGTACCTTATCGCTTACAACCTCCAACTCATAGTCTTTATAATTTTACTTTTCAGAAAATTTGTACAATCAATATAAACTAAATATCAGCAAAAAAGGAAACCATAACAACCAATAGGTTGCCAATTTGGGGGATATGGGCTTCAAGGACCTCAAGGAGTGGGTGTTTTTGCTTCGAGAGACTGAGAAGCCAATGCAGGCCCTACAGAGGTTGTTATGGTAGGTTTCATGACTGGAGATGGCTAAGGATGGCAGGAGGTGGCAGAATAGCACAACTGTGCGTGGCCAACCCTGCAATATTCAGGGCAATCCTCCAGCCCCCTATTCCGCCACCTCCTACTATCTCTAGCCCTCCAACCTCCCAATGGCTTCCCTTGCCTTCCCCTATCCTCTGGAACCCAAACGAAGCCACTCCCTTGATGTCTATCAACTACTCGACAAAACACCACAACCACCGTAACAATAAAATCAACTATATATCCCCCAAATTCGCACAAACCAATCAAATTTTTCATTAAATTCAAAACCACCAGTAAAAAACATACCCTTTCTTCACTGGCCTCCTCCTCCTCACTGGTGTCTTCCTCTTTAGAACCATTTTCCAATTCTTCTATATGTTCTTGTGTCGTCGTTGTCTCCTCTACCTCTGGACCACCTTCACTTATCGAATGATCCACCAGAGCATCTTCTTCGACAACCTTTGAATAGCCATCGCCACTAGAGTCTATGATTTGGAATGGGGTTGGGTTTTCCTCCTCTTGGTGAATATTAGCCATGATTTTGTGTAACAAAGCTTTAAGATCAAATATTGGCCAGAAATATGGAACTTTTATCATCAAAAATTGCAAAGAAATGGAAGGTGTTTCGTCAGTCGTTTTTTGGGTATACTGCTTGATTAAGCGATTTTGAAGGGAGGGAGTAGTTTTTTAATTTTCAAAATTTAAACAAATTTCCATTAATTATACTATTACCCATATAGGTTTCAATCTTTTGACTCTAGCCCCTTTTTGCATGTTTAGTTACAATTAAGAGTGCCGCATCAAATTTTTATATTTAAAAAAAAAAAAAAAAAAAAAAAAGAACCTCCAATTTTCAGGGTTATATTTTTAAATCCAAACTTGGGATGTCTGGGGAGTTAAATTTCCTCATTATACGAGTGGCTGAATTATATTTTGGCCCCAATTTTTTACAAAACAATATTGACTCCAAAACATAAAATGTTATCCCCATTTTTCAAATTATGATTTTTAACGTAATACGAAAAGGTTAATCTTATCAATTTAACTCATATATAATATTATGCAACAAAAAGTAAAAAACTACACCAACCGTAAAGTCTCTCAACTTAATCTCCCCTTAATACAAACCTTGTTTAAAAAGACACTAGTAGTTATAGAAAATACTCACAAAATCCACAATTAAAAGTTACAAAACATTAAGGACCACACCATTCCCCCCTTCCTACACCCCCCCCCCCCCCCCCCCCCCCCCCCCGGTCTGCCACGCAATAATAGAAGATTTCACAACCTGGGCCTAGCCAACCTATGATTGGCCAATCACATTCAATAATGCTAGTTGGCTATAACGAGGCCTTCTTCCCACCTACCAACCCTCCTCTATTCTCCACCTTCTGTTGGTTTGTCACAATGTTCCAGAAATCGACTTGGGATGAAACCCGAAAAATTGACCAAGTCCCAGGTTGACCAGTTCAATCAACTGCTGGTTCAACTAGTGACATCGGTAAAAGAAAATTCAGAATCCAGAAATACTACAACAAACCTTGGAAAGACCAATCCATTCATTCCATAAAGATAGTGTCACATATCAAGAATCAAAAATACATTAAAAGGTCACTTGGGGCCAACATCTAGTAAATTCAGATGTAGCAGGCGTATTAATCAAGAGTGCATCCAAATTCCAATGGGGCAACCAAAAAAAATGCATCAAGGAATATTCTTCCACTTTCATGCTTGGATTCTTAGCGATTTGTAAAAGAGACAAGCGAAAAGAGCATTGATTAAGAGTATTTTAATCATATGTATGATGATCAAAAATAGGGCAAAAGTTTACAAAAAACATAGAAATCAAATCTTAAAATTGGTACTGATATTCATATTTCACAGTGCCACCGTCATTTTGAGTCCCAAGAATTCTTTGCATCAAAAGCTCATTCTTTCCATGGCTCACAACTTCAAATTGTCCACCTCCGCCACCGCCAAGTACTCCACCACCACCGCCAGGTCCACCACTAAGCCTACCACCAACAACAACAAAATAGATTGTGGCTAAAAGCATAAGAAGATTATAACTTCATCAAAACCAAAAGCTCAAACCAGTCACGGAACACACCACAAGGTCCACCATCACCACCACCACCACCATCATCAACAAATATCAAAGCCAAAATCACCAGAAAGAGCCCTCACTCAACCAAAGCCTAAACTAGCCATAGCACATCAAAATCTCAAAAGAAAGGAAGAGATCGACGGTACCTGACAAAGATGAGCTGGAGTTGACAACGAAGATGAGTTGTTGTCGAAAATGAAAGCAAGCCTCCACCTTTGATGAAACAAGGTTGTAGGCACTAGGCTATTGTAGAAGTGGATTGGAAATGAGAGATGAAATGAAGAAGTTAAAAAGAGATGAAAGGAAGAGATCGACGGTACCTAACAAAGGTGAGTTGGAGCTGACGAAGAAGATGAGCTGATCTACAATAAAAAGATGAAACCGCAAATAGAAGATGTAAAAATGGGTTAGGGCTCGATGGTATGAAGATTTTGGGGAAAAACCGGTGGGAAATCAGGTTTAGGAACATAAAAGGGGGGGTGTTATTTTAACCTGGTTTTTGGGAAAAACCGGTCGAATTGACTGGTTACTACAGTACCACCGATCCAACCCCGGGTGAAATGACCCCCCGCCCCCTAATTTTTAGGCTCTCCTGACCCAGCTCACCAACCAAGTCTGGATCAAACCGGTCAGACCAGACTGAATTTTAAAACAATGGTTTGTTGTAGGTAATATGGGAATGAATTTAAAATATTTTTTCGTTGATAGAAGTAATAGGTGAGATTATTTTTATTGTTTATCATTAATACGAAATATTTGATGAATTTTAGACTTATGGGGTATTAAACTTTGGATGAATTTTTTTTTAACTAGAATTAAATATTTTAAAATAGAAAAATGTATTAGTCAAAACTGGTGAAACAGGGAATGAATGGAAATGAGCGACAGTTGAATCCGGTCCAATGGTACCAATTCCACCGTACACAAGACTGTTAACGAGTCGAGCCAAGCTGAGTATTTGACTGAACGAGCTTGGCTCGTGAGGGGATAAAGGGATAAACAAGTCCAAGCCGAGCCAAGTCGTTGATAACTGGCTCGACTCGAACTCGTGACCGGTTAAGGGGGGAAGCGAGCTTGGCTCGTGAGTAGGCTTAACGAGCTGAGTTCGAGCGGCTCACAAGCCATTACAAAAACAGGCAAATTTTTTAATTAAATCAGACCTGGTTTTTCATGGTATTCAACCCACTTTCTATCCTATACATTAAAACAACTAAATCTCATAATAAAATAAACATAAAAAAATGTTGGACCTACATGTATAGTATATTCCGTTTCAATGTCACAAACTATTTGACAAACACAAGTAAACCCGCACGTATTTGGCAAACAACTCAATCTCCACATGTGATCATTTCATCATACTATTTACCATTTACCATATTGGTTTTGTTTCAACAAATTAAGTGAAGTGAACTAAATTTTTTGTTTGGTTCACTTTATTTAATTCATCTTTAATCAAAACAAAAAGGGGACTATATACAAATTTAATCCCAAAACATCAAAATATAATGTTTCATAAAAAAAAAAAAAAAATGGTGTATGTTGGGTAGCTACATCCCAAAACCATTCTCGCCCCACTCTTGCAAACAAAAAATCAATTAAGAACATAAGTAAATAAAGATGAATATGCGAACCCAAACAAAAAAATCAATTAAGTCAAACTTGCACAATCCTGCTGCCACAACCAATGACATGCAGGGGAATCAAACAATCTACTGATTCCCGTCAATTGACATGATAGGAAGAACAATCTCCAAGAGGTCCTACTCTTTCTGAAATGAAATAAGAAATAAAAATTAAGTTTAGATTAACATAAAGTAATTGTAAATATTGAATTGCACTAAAAATAAAATCAATGAACTTACTTTGCACCTTTTCTTCACTCTGTTCAAAGATCGACACCAATCACATCCACATAAGAGCATTTCCACCGTGTCGAGAGACAAAGAAGCTCGATAACTGTTAACAACCCTACTCCCAACACTGAATGCAAACTCTAAAGCAACCGTAGTGATTAGGATGGCTAGTATCTCATGAGCCATCGTAGACAATATAAGGTACTTGGTTGAATTTGTCTTCCACCATTGTAAAGCATTGAATGCCTCACAATCCCCCCCATGCATATATGACACCCCTATCCCAAATAACGGTCTAGCTCAGACTTACTTGGCTCAACAGTCTCCACCGCATCCAAAAAATTGCTAAAATCATCCCAACTCGTGGCTCCTGCAACCATTGCCTCCTCACCAATAGCTCCAACTTCATCCCCTACTACTGGAGGCCCACGGGAAATAGTAGAAGCTTTATTAGCTTCAACATACTCTCCATATAGCTCATACAGTGCATCCCGAACAGTTACAGTATTTGCACGAGCTTCTAACTCAGAATACAGCTTGGGGAAGGCCCACTAATCTTTGTCACATTCTTCAACGTCTTTAACTTCACTTTCTCACTCTCATAGACCTTCATACAATCATTTTTGCGGGTATGGCGAGAAACCGGACTCCATTCAAGAATCTCATACTTTATCATATTGTTCAAGCTCTCTTCCTCCACAACTAAAAATGGATGCTCGTGCATAAGCACCCAATGGGCGATAAGTTCCCTCATCTTCATCATGTCGAACTTTTCACTTAAAGTAGGTAAAACAAAAGTTCCAGCATCGAAACCGACAAGGGAAAAGTAATGTGTTGTTGCCTCATGAAAGCTATTCTCTTTGAACACCATTTTAAATATCTATTAAAAACTGGGTGGTGCTTCTGGTGGCATTAATAAACAGCTTGGCTTTGCAATGGATACACTCTGCCTTTTTTGTACCCCCTGAGAGAACCACCTCCTTAAACTTTGTATAAACCACTGATGTTTTAGCTCTCTTTTTCCTTTGAATTGGATTGTCATTCTGCCCACCATTATCTGGGCTACTAACACTGTGTTCCGTATTTGTAGTGGTCTCATTCAAGGTACGCTTATTGCCTGGTGTAATTGTAATTGTAATTGTATCTTGCTCTGTATGGCTACTTGAGATACTGTCGTCCATTTCCAAACCTATAATACAAAATAAAAACAAAGGGGTTAGCTTTTCTTATTGATATTTGATGGAACATCCCTGATGAAATCAAATAAATCCAGCTATAAAATAGTCCAAAAACGCAAGATATGGCCACTACAAATCTAGAATTAATTTAGCAATAAATTAGAATATGTGGAGGTAAAGTTGAATCATAGAATGTTACTAGATGGAATGTTGGAAATATGTGGAGTGACTCCTAAAAAATTTAGAACTATATGTTCAAATATTAGCTAGACAAGCAATCTTTTAGGATGAAATAATTGGAACCAAACTAAACTGTCAAGTGCCAACCGTGAGAAACAAAACCAAGTGCAATATTGTGAAATTGCCCCAAGTGCATTTGGTTTATCCTTTCCAACCATGTAGCTGTTATTGTGAAATTTGCTTGGACAACATGGTGCTTGGATGAAGAGTGTCATATAAAACGCAACAATCCTCAACAACACAGTCCACAACACAAACACATTTCAATAATCCTCAACACACACGAATGCCCAACAATCCTCAACAGCAAAGTCCACACTCTACAGCACAAACACATTACACATTTCAATAATCCTCAATACACCCAAATGCCAAACAAATGCAACATCACAGGCACATGTCAATAATCCTCAACAGTCAACACAACTCACAAACGCAACAGTCCACAGCACAAACACATTACACATTTGACATTTCAATGTATGTAGTCATATTGGGAAAAACAAAGAAGAAATATGGACCAAAATAATACCTTATTGAGTTACTGGCAGTGAGAAGGACGAGAGGACAACGGGCTCGTCGACAGCAAGAGGAGAAGTAGACAGTGACGAAGAGAACTTGGAGGCTAACGAAAATGGCGAAACGATAGCGACAAAGAGAATGGTTGTAATAGGTGACGTTGTCAGCAATAACAGTGGACAGCATGCAAGTTGATTGGGATTTGTCAATTTTGGGCGGGATTGTTTCAATTTAGGGATTTTGTTCAAATGGGTAAATTATCATGTTTTACCAAGTTTTACAAGGTGGGGAATTTGTCATTTTAAAACTATTATGCTTAATAACTGCAAATTTTTTGTAGCCCCCAATAGTTTAAAAAACCCTCACTATAACTCTTTCTAACTCGAGCCAAATTCGACTTGTGAACCATCGAGCCAAGCCAAGCAGTGATCAAACTTAGCTCATAACCCCTTCACAAATCAAGCCAAGCAGTGATCGAACTTAGCTCACAATCCCTTCACAAATCAAGCCAAGCAGTGATCGAACTTAGCTCACAATCCCTTCACAAATCAAGTCGAGCCGAGCTCTTGATGAGCCTTCATTCGAGTCGAATCAAGCCAATTCACGAGCCACTTGATTCATCTAAGGATAGAAAGCCAAAAATCATTGCAACCGTTCCAGCCAAAAATTTCTCCTTTATAAAGCGTATTTTTGGTCAGTCATATCTTAGCAATCAAATAATTTCTTCGATCGTTACCAAGGAACAATAACTCGGACAAGGCCTTCCACCTACAATAATTCAGACAAGGCCTTCCGCCTTGTTTGAGACGGATCAGCAATCTGCCTAAAATGATATTAGCGCATTCAGGATGCCTACTAAAAGATAATTAGACGACTAACCACAAGTGAACGATATAAATGACAAGAAAATTAAAAATAATAAAAATGTGAATACAGCAAGAAAGAGGCCAAATTAAACTTAAGAGAGCATTACATGAATCATCAGTAAAAACTAATTCTCCAGTCGCAAAATTCTGTGGTACCCTTTGGTTAGTCTCAAATTTTCATTAGAACATCACGCTAAAATCTAGCTCACATGTACAGAGCATCCAGAAAGCTTTTGGTGTTGAGGAATATTTACAGACGCAGCCTTCCTTCAAACTGGGAAGAAGGCCAGACAGTCAAGCAGCAGAAGCAGAAGCACACTTGAGATACTTGGCACACGAAACTATAATAAGTTGCTTCTGGCCACCCCACTACTAGCACTCAACTGAATCACACCAGGCTTCACAGGGTTCTCGCTCATCTCCTCAAATGATCCCTAGAAAAAGAATGGATGCCTGAGGGCATCACGGGCTGTTAGTCTGTCCATGGGGTCATACCTAAGCAGTCTTGCATAAGATGTATGAGATCCCCAGCTGAATGGTCCACATGCTGCATTATTAGGTTCTGAAACAATCCGAAGATGAACACAGTTTATGACCAGATCAACAAGATTATGGGCCCTTAAAATGTGACATAATGTAAACAAGGTACAAACCTGAAGGCGAGGAAGCTTCAACACAGCTTTCATGCTATCCCTTGAGGTTGCACCTTCTGGCCAGTCCAACTTACCCCTTCTGACATACTTCTCTGCATGTCGGCTGATATGATCCATGGTAAAAAGAATACTTTTAATTAATATTTATAAAGAATTGCAATGATGGACCAAACTACAAAAGATGGGGCAAAATTTCACTCACTCTACTCTCTTTAACATTTGTGATGGCAAGGGACCAAGGACCCGCTCCATCATTGCAAGGTGCTCCAAATTCTCATGAGTTTGAAACAACGCTCCCCCTGTGGAAAGGTACCAGAAGCTCTATAAAATGTTCAATCACACTTGAATCGTCAACATTCCAAGAACAAACTAAAATAGACTGACCGTGCATAACTCCACCAAGATGCAGCCACACACTCCATATATCACATGGATAACTCCACCCCAGGCCTAGAAGATCATTAAATAAAGGTGTGTGCTCAATCTACTGAACAGAGAAAATCTTCACAACCAAAGAAAGGTACAAATGAATCTTTTTACCAAGGATAACCTCCGTGCACGATAATGCCGTGTGAATACATGTAGTTCTGATCTTGGCGTTCATAAGTTGTGCTACCAAAATCTATCACCTTAATAGCACTCGACTTTGGAACTCTTTTATAGTAAAACTTCCTTTGCGAGCGGGAAGAACCCTGCATATTCAGGAGCAGTTAGAAGAATAAGTAATAATATAATTTGGGATAGAGGGATATGCAAATATGAAATTCAGACTCGTGGGGTAAAGAGAAAGAGCGAGAAAAGAAAAGGACTCCAAGAATACCTTGTAATCAGAACCTTACTGTACTCCGAAGAAACTAACAGTACATTCTCAGGCTTCAAATCAGTATGTATCAGAGATAGATCATGCATGACTGCAAATACGAATCAAATGAACAACATTAGCAACATTATTGTATAACATAGATGACATTTTACTTTTGAACATCTATTCACCTAGAATAAAAAATTAGGTTAACTTTTTTATAATATTTATGATTAGATTAATCTTAAATAAGATATATAGTTATTAGACTCCATGGGGGGGAAGAAAAAAGGAAATGCATGACGGATTTGAGAGAAACTAGCTTAAGTATTTACTACACACATGCTATACATTCCAACAGTTGTCTGCCAATCTCACGGACTAGATCAATGGGAAATGAGCGATAATTGTTTTTTCCGTAGAAAATCGTATAAGCTAGGTCCAAGCTTCTCAAACACCTGTTGAAACCATTTGAATACATCCAAGAATCTTAACCCCCAATTATGTGTAAATTGGGGAAATCAATCTATTACAAATCAATCATATACTTACAATACAGATATGGTTACGATAGTCAAACCTTCCGTATTTGCACACAACTGCAAGGAATAAACCCATTTAACCTTTGCATAAAATTTAGCAAATGTTGTTATGCATCCAGCAATGGCAGGATGGGTTGCAACTAAACAAACTGCTCACCGATTGCCGCCTTTGTCATGTTTTGCAAGTTGTTGCAGAACCTCAATTTCAATCATTGCTGCTTCACGGTATTTCTTGATTCCACGAACAATTTTGATGGAACCATTTCTTTCCTTTCCCGGTCCCAGCATTCTAAAACCTGACCAAAGGTTCCTGTACAAAGAGGATTGGAAAGAACCTTACATCATACAGATGAACAATAAACTATGATATACAGGTGTGAATTCTGTTGCACAAACATACCTTCACCCATTTTGCTGTGAATCTTATCTGAAATAACAGAAAGGAAATTATAGTAATCAGAAATTAGTAAACTCTACAAGTCAAAACATGACAAATCAAATCCCTTTTCTCTGATTACATGCACAGGAACAACACATATATGAAATAAAAATACTGAAAACTCATGTGTCAAAATAATAAATAGGTCCCTTATTTGAAATATATAAATCAAAAAACACCAAACTACAGAAATGAAAATCACAGATATGTGAAACTTATTTTAACTGATTATTCATTAATTGAGACAACGATGGTAAAGTGTAATTACAGCGTGAAGTTAAACTATCTCCAAGCGCAAACTGTAATGGCCATCTTTGTCATCCCTCACGCCATGGGGGAGAACCATTTCGAGCCACACTCTTTACAAATAGAGAACTAGTGGTATAGTCTGAGGGAGCTCTTGAAGGTGCAAAGCTTGTTACATTCCCAACATCTTGTCCACAAAATAATCCTACCTGAGCCTACACAGAGCCATTCATTTCATGTACCACTCAAAAGTTATAACAAATCTGTGCTCCCTTAATGCTACCCTTGGATATTTACCAACTTCAGTCATTTGAAGCCAAAACTCATTGATAATTAGCACAGAAAAAGAACCTCAGTGCATAAAACAAATCAAACATATAAAACAAGGCATAAGATGAACATATTTAAGGAAGACAACCAGCTCGCAATATGGTTCTAGCTGAACACTTGACTTGTAAAAAATTTTAATGATTAGTCTGATTCACAGATGACTTAGAAGAACGATCCCCACATAATCAAAAACTCATATCTAATAAATCTGTCATCAAAGCGATAGACAGATCATGAAAATATGTATCCTCCAAACTAAATTCATATAAAGAAATTTGGACCATTCAAAATTACGACATTCATAATTACGATCTATCCGGGTGAACAATAAAAAGAGATATACAATAAAAATTCCTCTCAAACACAAAGAAAACGGATCTCAGAATAGATTTAATCAGCAATAAAGATGATAATAACCAAAAGGAACAAAGAATTATCTCTATACATAAGATCTGAGAACGCATAACACGCATCATTCAATTAGACCAAACCTTATCTGAAACATCAATAAAGATCACCTAGTTTACAAAAAATAACTAGATCGGTCAAAACTAGAAGAAAACACATAAAATCAAACACAAAAATAGGATCTTGAAAATCAAAGATGATACCTTCGGTGCCTGAGGCACGTCCCAGCCCAGACGCGCCCGCTTTCGCGGCCGACGATCCAATGCGTGAGAGGAAACTCTGTTACGCGTTCCATCTCCATGGCTGCAGATCCGAGAAAGGGAACTAAGAAAATCGAAGAGAAATTAGATTTTGAGGAGGAAAAACAGAGAAGATAAGGATGTTGTGTTTTTTGTGTGAGGAAAGGGGCAAAGCTAACCCTAATTTTAACCTACCAATTAGAGGGGTTGGGGCGGTTGAGATTAGATCTATCCGTACACGTGTAATGTTCTAGCCGTGCGTTTGACCAAAATTTGCTTTTGATTCGATGTAATGTATCAGCGTTTGGTTTGCAAGTATTTGGTAGGTATTTAACTATAGTTAGGTTTGGCCTCAGGTTAGGTTCGAATCGTGGTTGAGTTAGCTTTTGTTTCAAGCAGAATAAAGGAAAGCTATTCTTACGCGCTTACACACGTGCCGGGCTGGCCTTCATGATGCCAACCAGAAATAGACGGTTAGTTAGGGTGTAAATTCATACAGTTAAATTTAATTTAGAGTAATGTTATATTTATACACTCTTTTACACCATTTTATTACATTATGATGTGATATTTATACCATTCTTTTACATCATTTTCATTATATTATGATATGATATAATCACAATCACATAAATTCTATTATAATATTAAAAATTTAAAATAATTAAAAATTTAGTGGTTGTGACATTGTATTATAATGTAATGAATATGTATAAAAGAAGTGATAAATGTAGCATACTCTTTAATTTTAATTGTATACAAATCTACTTTTTTTAAAATTAATAAATATTTTAAAATCCATAAAATCTTAATTTTTATAGTGTAAATATTATTTCACATAAATTTCAATTTTGGGATAGGTTATTTGTACCCAAAATTTATTCTCGGCTCATTTTTTCAAATACACACAATACAAAATTTTAAAAGTTAGATTTTTATTTCTAGTCTATAATTAAAACATGAACTAAAAAGATTAATAATAATTAAATATGACTATAGTGAGACTACTTTTGGCCTCCAATTCTTTTGTGAGTTTATTTATTAAAATCTCACATAAATTTAAAGATTGTATTTATTTGATATAGCATACCAATTTTTATTGAGGAAATAGTGAAATATGTATAAGAATTTAAGTATAAATATTCTTTTCAACAACTTAGGGAAATATGCTTATCCTTTCTTTATGAAGACAGCTAACTTTTAAAAGCATATCCCCACTTCCATCGTATATGCTATAATAGTTTGTCCACCCACCACCCCCCCCCCCCCCCCCCCCCCCCCCCCCCCCCCCCCCCCCAAATTACTGGCATAATATATATAATGGATTACATTAATTTTATGTAGTTTGGTGGGTTTGATGAAAAAGCATAAATCTTGATCATACCAATCTTACAAGGCATATATCTCATAAGTTAAGGGATGTGGGAGTTTAGACATTTGGTTTAGAGAATGTTGAACTATTGGAAATATTATATTAATAAAAAGATAGATTACCTTGAATGTTTGAAATATTATATTAAATATGTTTGATTAGACTGGAATAAAAGAATTATGAAAAAAGCTTTTAATTGAATTATCCTTCTTTTTTTAATATTATAATAATAATAATATGCGTTTGGTTTATTATTTTGGATAGGATTTTAAAGATAGTATTGGATAATTGAATATGAGAGTATTACAAGGTAAAATTTAAAAATTTATAAAAAAACCCCTAAGTTTGCTAATTTAATAAATACCCCAATATATAAAAATATTGTAAAATGACAAAAAGACCCCCACCACCCGCAGTGCTAGATTCCGACCACTACCGTCGGAATCTAGCCGAAAAATTTTGTAACGACACATACCGGCCGGATCTGGTCGGTATGGCATCGCTATGGCCTTTTCTGACTAGATCCACCACAGATCTATGGCCATATGTGGCCGTCACGGCAGAAAAAGGCCAAAGAATGCCATCTTTGGCCGTCGTTGTCGATCAACGATGGCCAAGATTTGGCTATCGTTGACAGTCAACGACGGCTAGATCCGGTGAATTACCAGCAAGTTCTGGTCGTTGTTAGTTTTTAAACTTTTTTCAAGAGGTATTTAATGAAATTAATAACCTTATGGGGTCTAAAAGTAATTAAAAAATAGGATAATATTTCTGGAATAATATGTCAAACATTATTTGGAGAATAGGATTGGAAATATGGGCAGAAATAATAAGCCAAACACACCATTATTATTATTTGGATTATTATTTTTAACTCCCTATATTTGAGAATTTAACTAAAACATCTTAGCCATAATAAAAGTTTAAAATTTAATAAAACACCCCAACCACCCAAGACCACTACTAGCCGTCGGCCACCACTGCCAACCGCAGCCCACCATCACATGAACGACGTACTACTGGTAGGATGTGGTTACTTGTGCGCCGATCTAACTCTTTCCAACCAGATCCATGGATTTGCATTAATTAATTTTGGGGCCACATTATCACAACTACAATCATGGATCCAATTATGTTAGTTGGAAGAAGGGTGGAATGATGAATGGTTTGATACAAAGAGATGTAGTCCCCCAAAATTATTGAAGAAGTTTGAAGATCCATGGATTTGCCTGTTTCCAGCAAGATCCATGTATCTGGTCAGAAATGGACGTTCCGAGGATGACAGATTGCGGCCGATAGTGGTGGCTGGTGGCTAGCAGTGGTCTTGGGTGGCTAGGGTGTTTTGGCTAAATTCATGTAAATTGTTTTAAGAACAACGGTATTACTATCCAAAAAATTTATTACTTAAGGCACATTTGGATCAAGGTAATACAAGATAACGGGGGTAATCTTTATTTATTTTCCAAGATTATGTTCTTTGGTTTGTAAGTAATGAAATATTACAAGTATCTTTTATTGCAAATAGTGTTTACTGTTGATAATGTCATGGGTAATCAAATACCTTCCCTAGGGGCTCTTATTAAAAGATTATCGAGTAATCTGATTTTTATACTTATTTAGCCCTTAATTAAATATAATTTCGGACACAATTGTCCTCAAATGTCTAACAATTACCCAGCCCCTTTAAATTTGAGAAATTAGCTAAAACACTCCAACCACAAAAAAGTTTAAAAGTTAACAAAATACCACCCAAGATCACTGACAGCAATCGCCGTAATAGCACACGACCAATGGGATCTGGCCAGTCATACATCGCTAAGGCTATTTTCGGTAGATTTATTACCGCAAATGACCAGATCTGGTTGTTTCTATGGCTGTTTCACAGCCAAAGATGTGGTTGTGAAAAGCCATAGATTTGACCATAAAACTACCGTCATTTTAAGGCTAAAGATTTGGCTTCTGTGGCCATTTCACGACCACATCTTTGGCCATGAAATGGCCATGGATCTATGATCCATGATCGGAAATGGTTTTACCGACGCACGATCGGCCATATACGACCAGTTGTGCGCCATTCCGTCAATTGCCAGTGCACAACTGGCCATATATACATGTAAAAAAAAAAAAAAATCATAAGTTTCTAATGAGCCAAATTTCGTTTTATCCTTCAAGGTGTAAATTTTAACGGCAAGGCATACTTGGTAGTTTCTTGTATTTTTAGGGGTTTAAGTGCAATTTTTAAAGTTGTATGTGTGTAGAAGCATCAATTATATTTTTATCCCCAATGCGGAGACTTGAACCTGTGATCTTGCCTTTGGCATTGACACCATGAGAATTCTCAGCTTTTAGTAATCAGTTGTGATTTTCTTTATTGAAATGAGTAATATATACATGTACAAAGCCTTCTTCAAGTGGGAAGAAAAAAAAAANAAAAAAAAAAAAAAAAATGGAGACTCCCTCGAGATTCCAGCAAAACCCTAATATAATATATAGTCTCTGATTAAACAGTTTGTTAAATGCAGGTTAACAGACTACATATAGTACTGATATTTTCTTTGAATAGTGAGAATTCAGATATTACATTACATTGTCAAACCAAATCCAGATAATCAAATAAAGAAGAAAATAATAAAATGGCAGTAATTAATTACACATGATACAGAGTGGGATAGTTGGTCGGTTGTTAAATCAAATCAAATCAATTATTTAATGTTGTGGATGCAGTGAGACACACTATTAAGCTTAAATTCGGAATGTGAACAAAAAGACCTCTTTTCTACACTACTGATTTCAGTTCATGCATCACCAAATCTTTTATAGACAGAATGACAAAAGTAAAGGATATTCCGATGGCAAATATCAGCTCACTTACAGCTAACAGGTTTTAGTTGCCACCGGCAAAAAGAAAGTGCACTTAAAACTCCTTAAAAAAGCAGGGAACAGTAACAGAGGATAATAAAGTAGCAATGATTAACCCTTTTTCCTGATTTTGAAAATCTAGATAAGTGTGCTAATGTTATATCAGAGAGAGTGAAAAAATTGAAAATCTGGCACTAAGTCGCTTTTGTCAGTCCAGTTGTTTGTTTTGAAAGTGGGTATTCTCTTGCCAGCCATTTGAAATGGCCTTTTGTAATCTTGTAAATTATGGAAATTTGGAAGTGACACCTTTCGTTCAGAGAATCTAAATCTATCAGTTCATGGCAATTCACAATCTTAAATAATCGCTGATTTCTGCAAAGATTTTTGTCTTATTACCTTTAGTTTCTCATAAACACAGCCATTTAATATGATTAATCACGGCACTATCGGGAAAGTTTAAAAAGGAAGTGGAAGTGGCCTGTCGGCCCCATATTTGTGGGTGAAATGATCACCAAGATGGACCCATTTTCGCCCATTAACTTTGAAAATACGATAACAAGCTACGTCGGTTTTGATATTCTAGAATACTAGAACAGTAAATGCTTCTGAAATGGGAGTGGAATGAAGTAGAATTTATTTTATAAAGACCCCATTTGTCAAAGCAATGAAGTAGAGACAAGAAATCAAATGAAAAGATAAGAAAAAGCTAATAGGATACAATTCACACTACACAAAAGTTGAATATCAACTCTACTGTATATTTGTACCATCACTTTATAGTACTTATTAGAATCCTTCAAGGGACAAATTCTTTCTTGCACATCAATCACATCTCGACCCATCTAACTTTTCTCTCCTGTTCTCATTGTAATGTTCCATTGGAAGTCAAAACACTTCAATTAATACTAATAGCGTCACAAGCGCGACTGCTGACACTGCACTTGCTATTTTATTCCTGCAAAATCTTTGACTGTATATGCAATTCTCTCAAATTTACCTTCCTCATTACTCTCTCTAAACTTAAGATAATCCAAGCAAACAAAGGGCTTGTATATTCTAAGAGATCCTTCCCCCACAACTTCTTCTGGTGCTAAGATCACCTTTTTATCTTCAAAGCACCAGAAGAAGGCCAGTGAAAGGCGATTTACTTGTCGCTTTAAAACAACCCGATGTTCAGATGACCTTAATCTTCCATTGCTCCAAGCCTGCAACAAATCTCCAATATTAACAACTAGAGAATTCTCACATGGACATATGTCCATCCATTGCCCGTCTTTAGACCTCATCTGAAGTCCACCAATCTCATCCTGATAGACTACTGTTATACAACTCATATCAGTGTGCATTCCAAGTCCTTCAACATGATTTTCTTCTACCATCTCTGGTGGTGTATAATTTACTAACCTTAGATACCCATGACAGTTAATAAATTCTGCATCGTAAAACTTTCTTTCATAACCATTTCCCAGACTCATTAATATAATCTTTATAATTGTCTTAGATAACTCCATCATCTTGATTCCATACTCTTTCAATATCTCGCTAAGAGATGGAATAGAGAAAAAAAAAATATACATAAGTACACATAAATGATCAACAAAACCATAGCATAAAGATAACAAAGAGTATATTACCTAAATTCTGAACTCTGTTGAGCAAAGAGCACGTCTGCAGAAGCCTTGGCAGAGGCAAAGAAGTCTGGTCCAGACACTCTAAGGCTCTCAAAATAAGGCGAAGCTATAAAATATGGAGTGCAGGTTTTAATGCATGAAAATGGACCAAGCTTGAGCTTGGTATCTGAGGGATTACTAAACATGTGCTTGGAAAATGCACAAACTTTGTCAAACATGTTTTGGGAGATACCGTGGTTGGTGACATAAAAAAAACCCCATTCTTGACAAGCTCTAGAAAGGGTAGACAAAAAAGAGGGATGCACTGGTTGGGATAAATCTAGCACAGGAAGCTCAACAGAAATCTGCAATTGTGACATAATTAAACAGGAAAATTGGAATAGTTTTCTATCTACTGTTCAAAATTTAGTAATAAGGCTACATAGAGAAAGGGGAGATTGGTAGAACTTATATAAAAGTTTATAAGCTCAATTTTCGAATTAAACTTTTTTCTAAAGTGTATCATAATCACTGTTGTCTGCCACTAATTATTACAAGATATGTATGCGTTTTCCATGCAAATCTGAACACATCTTTACAATTAGGATTGGTCCGGTATAGCAATGCAAAGAGACAGGTGATTGTGCCTATCTTAGTCAACACTACTAATGGTAAATCAAATTTAAAATATACCAGAATCACTATGATGGTGGAGACCACAACCCATAATCGACAACATAGTCATCTCTGCTAATTGTTGTTGATACTACTGCTACCATATATAAAAATTAGAACCACTGAGTGACGGCAACGATGATAGTATCACAACACTGAAGCTGTCAAAACCCACTATTTCAAGAAGAATCAAGAGACACCAGGTTGCTCAAGCAAGAATTAAACATTGCTCAGTTCTGGCTAACAAAATTTTGATGGTGAAGTCACAAATTCACATCAGCTACACAATTCTCACTAGGCTTGAAAATATAAAACACAATTTTCATATAAATATAGCAAAAGACTCAAACGAAAAACCATTGATTAAAAACCGATGTGGTCAGAAATATAGCATAAAATTGAGCTAACAAAAAATTTCCCTACAAACATTTAAGCTATTGACCCTCCAATATGTATTACCTTCTTATAATTTGGCAAAAAGGAAATCAGCAGAGACATCAAGCATCATGAAATTCTGCTTGATTCCAATTCCTTCTTGCCAACTTACAGAATTATAGGCAAAGAGAAGGTAATAATTCATGCATCACCTTAGTTCTACAGACCATAAAGTCTGTTACTTCCCATTAATCCATAAGGCAACCAACAGATGATCATTCCCACTCAATTGTAGATGGAGGCTTGGATGTGATGTCTTGAACAACTCGGTTTACACCCCGAACATTGTTACAAATTTTTCTTGCTACATCATCAAGGAATTTATGCTCAAAATAATACCTGGAATAAGAAAATAAGATATATAAGGGATATTTAGTTTCACTTGGCAAAAAAGCAAAATGCCTACACTCATTTTGTGGAACATAGCTGCTAAATAATAATCTCCAAGATAAAAATAAGCATGCACCGACTCTAGAAAACAAATTTGACAATAAATTTTTTGCATGTTAAGTTTTTTATCTTATATTATTTACTTTAGGGCCTCTAAAATCTTCCACCATGATAAATTGCTGCATTATGGGTGGACATAGGGGTAGAATGGTCATAGAAAGGGAATGAAAACTAAAGTATAGGCTTGAAAATAAACTAGTTTTTTCATCAAAATAATCGGGGATAGTCATAAATTCAGGCTACATGAACATAACAAGATGAATGGAAGATATCAATGTCTTATTTTAATTGTTTAGCGACAACTCAGCATAAATGGTGTGGAATACTAGCCACTGGATGTTCCAATGATGATTAGTGCCAAATCTTTTATGGCCCTCTCCTCATCCTAGCTGATCTCATGCTTGAAAAATGTCAATCCTCATTGGTGAAATACTAGATGCAAAAACAAGGAATTCAACTAGGTAATAAATTCACCAAATATACGTTTCCAATGGGGCTCATAAATTTAGAAGCCCAACTAACTGCATTTAGACATGCTTATATGGGTGGTGGGTTAGCTCATAAACATATAGAAAAGAAATCATCAACATTGACACAATCACAATTGTCCTTAATATTAAATTGTCTCAAAGCCAACTCAACTTCCAAGAGTTCTGCCTCTGCTTCCAACCGATTATCCAGAAAAATCAATTAGGTTGAGAGAATAACAAACATTTACCAAATTGTAGAAACCAAATTGACAAGCATGGGAATCCTAAGGTTACATCTTTTGGGGAAAAAAAAAAAAAAAAAAAGAAAAAGAAAAAAATAAGAACACTATTTTTAATGTTTTACATGCCCAAATTGTACTAAACATGTGAAAAAAATGAAGGCTTACCAATCTGCTGTCATTCCATCTTGGCTTGTAACAGCTCTAAGAGCAACAACATGTGAATGTGTTCTTTGATCACCTTGAACTCCAACTGATCTTACAGGCAAAAACACTGCAAAAGCTTGCCAAATTGAATCATAAAGCCCAGCATCCTTGATTGATTGAATGAAAATTTCATCCACCTAAAAGAAAAACAGGAAAAGACAGCATGTAAATTATTGTTGATAGAGTGATGAAAGATAAAACGTGATTCCCAATCCATGCACAAACAACACATACCAGGCGGAGGATATCCAACGCATTGCCATCAGTTACATCACCTAGGACTCGTACTGCAAGGCCAGGCCCAGGGAATGGGTGACGCTTTAAAAATGGTTCAGGAACATTCAAAATTTTCCCAAGTTGACGAACCTTCATAAACGAGTGAAAAAAATAACATCAGAAAATTATGAGAGGAAAAAAAGAATATCATCTTTCTAAGTATGTAGTGAACAGGCAGGAAAATTCAGAGCAAAACCTCGTCTTTAAATAGAAGTTTAAGCGGTTCAATGAGCTTCAACTTCATGTCCTTAGGAAGGCCCCCAACATTGTGATGGCTTTTGATTGTATGGGAGTGGGTTCTTCCTGTTCCAGGTGGCGGGCATGATTCAATTACATCTGGATACAAGGTTCCTTGGACCAAGTAAGCAGGTTTCTTTCCTAATTTCTGCTCCAACTCATTGGCAAAAGCATCAAAGATGCATATGAATTCCCTTCCAATTATCTTCCTCTTCATCTCAGGATCTACCACACCTTTCAGCTTACTAAGAAACTGATCTGTAGCATCAACGCAAGTTACTGGTAGATGTAGATCCTTTTCAAAGGTTTCCATAACGCGTTCTCTCTCTTTGTACCTACAGAAAATAAACAATAAATGGAAAATCTTACGAGAGAGAAACTGAAAGGGCAAACAATAAAAAAAAATTTAAGGATTTTTATCAACCTTTAAGGCCCAAGAAAAACCCGATCATTCACTCACCTTAACAAGCCATTGTCAACAAAAACACAGTGAAGCCTATCCCCAATTGCCTTATAAACAAGTGTAGCAGCAACTGTGGAATCTACACCACCAGATAGAGCACAAATGACATGTTCTTCAGGCCCCACCTTGTCATTGATTATTCTAATTTCTTCATCCAATACATTTTCCATCTTCCAGCCAGCACTGACTCCACAAACATCAAAGAGAAAATACCGTAGTGTTTCCATCCCTTCAGGTGAGTGTGTCACCTACATAAAATTCAAAAATCAAACTATTCAAGATAGAACTTTACATGCCAATAAAAACTTTCTATAATAATTCCATTAATGCACTACATTCACAGGTCACATGCTCCAATGAGGGCAAGATAATCCTTCCTAGACTCATATCACAATGAGCTTGACTGATACTACATATCCATGGTTCCAGAAACAACACAATTCTACCACAACATATGGTTCCAAATCAAGTTTACTCACCAAAATAATCTTATATAAGCAATAAGATACATCAATTTTTTCACATTCGGTTATGCAAGATTTGAACCACACCAATGCAAAACTCAGTTTCATACCAATGAAACTGCAGTTTCCAAATAACAAGTTTGCTTCAGAACAGCTTTCCAGCAAATATAAATAAATCACATTGAAGAAATATTTCGCCTCCATTACACCACGAATAATAAAAAAAAAAAAAATCCACATAATCAAAACAAGTACAAAGGATAACAAAAACCAAATTCAATAATTAGAGCAAAGCCAAATACCTCCGGATGATATTGAAGCCCAAAAAGCCTCCTCTCTCTATTCTCAACAGCAGCAACAGCCCCCTGCTGGCTTCTAGCCACAACCTCAAACCCATCAGGCAACACAGCGGCCTCGTCTCCGTGACTCATCCAAACGACCTGCCGTTCACCCAACTTCTTATTCCCAAATATTCCCGAACTACCCTCCACCAGAATATCCATCCGCCCGTATTCCTGTTTCTCCCCAACCCTGACAACACCCCCAAGTTTCTGTACCATCAACTGGAGCCCGTAACAGACTCCAAGCACGTAGACACCATTGGACTGGGCCCACTCGAGGAAGTCGGTGGGAAAAGCGGGCGAGTCAGGGGCGTGGACGGAGTGGGGCCCTCCGGAGAGAATAACTACATGTGGATTATGGGAGGCAATCGTTTCGAGAGAAGAAGTGCCGGAGATGCATAGAGAAAAGACGGAGAGAGAACGAATTCGCCTTGTTATGAGGTGGGTGTATTGAGAACCGAAGTCTAGAATCAAGACCAGCTCCTTTTTCTCCATTTTATTCTTTGGTGGTTTTTTGGTTAAATGTTTGCGTTTGTGGGTCGTGGCTACGGAGGGTTTAGGGTGGATTAGGGTTTTATTATATTGTTTGGCGGGAAGGGGTGGGATATTCCATTATTCCAAGTTGCAGGCAAGTAGGTTTTAGTAGAATAAGACAATGCGCATTTGAAAATTGAAAAAGAAGAGTAAACGACATATTCCCACCCAAGGTTTGACGATATCCAAGGTTGGTACCCAAGTTCCATTTATTCTAGATTCCTACCCTTAAAATAACAATGTTAACAATTTTTAGGGTAGTGAAAGTGCAATTACTATAATACCCTTAACCCTAAATTAATAAATTATTTTTAACCCCTAAATTACTGAAATTATAAATTAACTATCTTATTTTAAAATTACTTCAATTACACCCTCTATAACTGTGCACCATCTTGGTTTTCATGGGATCTGGGTTGTTTCCGATGGCGGCGAACCCCCTGGTCACCTCCATCACCTTCCCCATTGTTCTTCGTTCAAAACCCCTCTGGTTCCCGACTCAATGGGCCCTCCAATCGTCGGCGCCGTCAAGCTTAGGTTTTCGTCGTTCTTCACTAGATTTCGATCGATTCCGGCAACGAAAATTCAATTGGACATCACCATTGCAATCAGTGTCTCCAAATCTACAAAACCCCTATGTCCTCAGCAACCGCTTAGTGGCCATTCGCCAGTGGAGACCGAAGAAAACCAGTCGCATGTAGCGGCTGTCGTGGCTAGCGATCAGCGAGTGATGAGGGGTTGTGAAGGGTAAGGTTTTGTAGAGAGGAGGACGAGGGTCCGAATGGTGGTGACAAGGGTAATTTTGGGTGGAAGAATCACCGGAAAAAGGCAAAAAACGTTGGCAATGATGTTGGCTAATGTGCGCTGGAGCTTTGTTAGGGGCGACGATCTGCTAATGTGCGCCTCCTTTGTGAAATGACTAATTTACCCCTGAGCAGTTATATCCAACCATTTTTCGTTATTTTAAGGGTGAGAATCTAGAATAAATGGAATTTTGGGTACCAATTTAGGATTTTGTCAAACCTTGGGTGGGAATATGTCGTTTACTCAAAAAAGAATGATGTGAAAGCCCAATTCGTTTCGAATCCGCTGATGTTGAAGCCTAAATTGGCTCCGAATTCATATTAATATTTAATAATATTTCTATATTATACAATAATTTCTCTTTTATTTTTTTATTTAAAATAAAATCATAATTTAAATAAATAATGTCTTTACTCTATTTACAAATAATTATTGATATCTTAAAATTTAATAGAAAATATTAAAGATTTTAT